ATTTGTCTGGCCTTAGCCCTCTCCTTTTCTCTGGCCCTTTCTTTCTCCATCTCAAAATCTATTTCCTTTTGTCTGACCTTTTCTTTCTCCATAATCTCTAATTTCTTGAGTTGTAGCTCCTTAGCTTTCTCCTGAGCCCTGGCTTTTTCTCTAATTTCTAATTCCTTCACTTTAAATTCTTGTTGTAATTTTCATTTCTCAAAATCTTAGGAGCTTAGATCCTTTTGTCTCTCTCTGAGGCACCCTCATCAATTTCATCCTGTTTCGTTGGAGTTAAAGGGTCTCCATTTCCCTCCATTTCTTGAGGTAAACTCTCTGCCTCAAGACTCCCCTTCTGGCTACATTTGGGCAGCATGTTTATGCCTGAGTGAATTAGTATTGAGTGTATGTACTGATTTTTAAAAGGACCTGACTTTCTGCTTTAATTCCAGTAACTATTGTTGTTGCTCTTCCCTCAGCAACTCTTTCTGGATGTTCTCCAGCTAACAACCTTTAGTTACTGTGTCTCTCTCTGTCTGAACTAATCCTGCTCTCAGCCACTGAAATAATTTTATTTTTCAAGCCTCTGCTTTGATTTTTCTATCCCCTCAGATCTGCTCTGACCTCTGGCTTCCACTTTTATCCATCAGCGCTCCCTTCTCTTAGAGCCTTGGATGTTAAGTTAGCCCACTGGTCTTCCAAATCCTGAGGTAAATAAACAGGAATTTCCCCTACAGAGTCATTCCCTATCTTTAGTCCCCCCAGATCTGGGATCAGAAGCTCTGCCACTAAGCTTCTCCACAAAAGCTCTAGCAGGTCACCCACTTCTTCACCACAGATCTCTGACTAAAAAGGTACCCACAACTCAAAAAAATTCACTTTCAAACTCTGGTGTTACTGGATTATTTCGTATCCCACCTCTGGATACCAATTGTGGCATTCGCCCTCGTGGCCCCTGTTTGTCTCATTAAACACAGAACTCACAAAGGCAAACCACACTGCCACCAGTTGATCTCCTTATCAACTTACTTTACTTAGAAAAGATGAAGGTCCATTCTGTACTGACTTTTTAATCAAACGGGTTTATTGATTACAGTTGGTTTCTGGAACAATTCATAAGCACATTCTTCAAGTTTCATCAAGCTTCAATATTAACCTTCTTTAGTAATTATCACAGTTTACATTCAGACTAATCACTCCTCAGACCCCAAAATATCCTCCTCTCTCTCTCTCTCTCTGATTCCTAACACAGACTCTGACTCAACTTAACTCAGACTTAACTGACTGAATGACTCTCTCCTCTAAGACTCTGCCTTTTAATATCTCTTTTGGCCCCGCCTCTTAACCACATTAACATATAACTGATGATTAATACATAACTTATTGCAGAACAAGTGCGAATGCTACAGGTATGTACCATCAAGATTAAGACAACTTTAAAATATAAACATATTATTTCTGAATTTCAAGTTCAAAACCACTTCTTTACAGATTCTCTGTCTTTCTGGCCACACACACTAGGCTCTCAACATAGACTTTTTCGAACAGACTGACAGATTACTTCTCCTGACTCACTCAGGCTTCTACCTCTCTCTAGGAAATGTTTGCTGCCTAAAAACAGACTCCTCTCTTAACTGATTCCAGTCGTATTAACCAATCAACAGTTGACCCTATACTCAACATTCCAGCTTTCAACTGCCAACCACACTAGTACCCTGTCCATGCACAAAAAACACCAGGCATTCAAAGCTATTCAATATACAAAATTGCCACTGTTCTTATTAAATATAGATCTATAGAGAGATTTAGGATGGGTAGAATTGCCACACTAGAACATTGGATAACTTTGGGACCAAAAACTTCTGCCAGGTCTGTAACACAGCCAGACAACTGAAGGGCAGTATATATTGTTGCACTGAGACAGTGTGTGTTTGAAACTAAATAAATTATTCCCATGAGAATGTAAGGAAATTGGCAAGCACTAGTTTTCCTCTTCCTTCCAGTATCCTGCCCCTTGCAACACACTAGCACGATTCAGTAAAATCAGATTGAACAAAAGGCTCTTGCACATTTTCAGGACAGTGCAATTATTGATTGGAGGTTTACATCACTATGGCATCTACCAGAGTTCACCTTCACATCTCTGCTGGTTTTCCTGCTGCTCTCTTTCCTGTTCTGTCTGCTTAGACCAGGAAGGATGCCCTCCAAATGTTGCTAGACTGCAATTCCCAGACTGCAGGGCACGTGGAAATTGTAGTCAAGCAGCATCTGATGGGCTACACATTCCCAGCTTCTGCCCTAAATGGAGAATGTTGGCTCCTTTGAACAATATAAGGAGCAACTTTGGATTTCCCAAAGTTGGTTGATTTCACCTGGGCTGCTATTTCTCATCTCAGCTGTTTTTATATATAGCAACTTCATTAGACCATAGTGCCTAGCATACTGTTTCTTCACTGCCACTGTTAAATACCTTACAAGTTTGTGATGATTCTCCAGAAGGGATGGGAAATGTGAGGCCCTCTAGAAGTTGTTGGACTGTAGTTTTTATCACCGTTCAGCACTGACAAAATTGACTAGGGCTGATATGACTTACAACGTAGCAGCATCTGGAGGGCCATGTATTGCCCAGTCATGTTTGATTTTTGTATATTGTTGCATGACTGGAGAGTAGATAGCCGTGACTGATTTCACCCCAACATAATATATACAGATGTATAAAGTAATATATTTATCCTTTCACAGACACTTTCCCCTGTACTCACAATCCTGAGTGATAAATTGTTCCCCAGATTTTGCTACCCAGCAGTAAATTTACTTATGATTAGGCAAAACAGATAGGTAGAGAACAAAATTTTATTTCCCTTTCTCTTCTATTTCAAAACACTTTAATCATGTTGTGATAAATCTGAATCCTAAAACAGTCCAAATGGAAAGTGCAGCCAAGAAATCAAAAGACTGAATCACAATGAAGGAACAAGGAAAGATAATCAAATGTAAATATGTATCACTGGAGACCAGGACTAAAATAATCTACATTATTGTATTATCAAAGGCTTTCACGACGGGGATCCAATGGTTGTTGTAGGTTTTTCAGGCTGTTTGTGTTCTGGAGGTTTTTCTTCCTAAGATTTCGACAGTCTCTGTGGCCAGCATCTTCAGAGGACAGGAGTTAGAACTCTGTGTTCTCATGTAGTGTGTGGAATAATTGAGTATTTGTAGCTGTCAGATCAGCTTTTTGTCCTTTTCAGGAGACTGGGTGATTATGGTGATCAAGATGTTTTTTTGTTATGGGTGTATTGTTGTGATAAGGGGGGAGATGATCTGTCACTGTGATTGATGGGTGTTGTTAGCTAGTCTTTTGTGTGCAGTGATCACCGGTCCTTGTGGCTGGGTAGAGTTCGTTGACCTTTTTGCAGGCTGTATTTTTCAGTTCTATGACCCAGGCCTTGTTGAGTTTTTGACTTTATTCTTTTTTTGTTGAAGCTGTGCAGGTGTTTGTGGATTTCAATGATGTCTCTGTGTAGTCTAACATAATGATTACTGGTGTTGTTCAGTACTTCAGTATTTTGAAATAAGATTTAATGTCCAGCTTGTTTCAGGGCATGTTCAGCTACTGCCGATTTTTCTGGTTGTTTTACTCTGCCGTGTCTTTCATGTTCTTTGATTCTGGTGTGGATGCTGTGCTTTTGTATTCCCAATATATACCTGGCTGCAACTGCAAGGTATCTGGTGTACTCATGCAGTGGTGAAGGGATCCCGTTTGTCCTTTGCTGAGTGTAACATTTGTTGTATTTTTGTGGTGGGCTTGAATACCATTTGTAAGTGGTGTTTTTTCAAAAGTTTCCCCATGTGGTCCATGATCCCTTTGATGTATGGCAGAAACACTTTGTGGGGGGCTGTTTTTCTTCTTTAGTTCAGTGTTGTTTTCTCGGTTTGTGGCTCTTGTGATTTCAGTCCTGGAATAGCCATTTACCTGTAGGGCCCAATTCAGACGGTTGAGTTTGGTGCTGAGAAATTGAGCTTCACAGCTGTGATTCGTATGGTCTACCAGTGTTTTGATTATGCTTCTTTTCTGTTGTGGTTGGTGGTTGGAGTTTTTGTGTAGGTTATATATATAATTAAATCGGAACTTTCTCTAGAAGCAAATTTGGGGAAACCGAAACTGTTGTACTTTGGGTACACTGTGAGGAGACAAAATGCTAAAAAAGACAAAGGCAGCAGAAAAAGAGGAAGATCATATATGAGATGAACTGACTCCATAAAGGAAGCCACAGGCTTGAGTTGGCAAGAGTAGATCTGGGCTGTTGAGGCCAGGAGAGCCCTCCTTCATAGGATTGCCATAAGTTCAGAGGCAATATGACTGCACGTAACAATAACAAATAATTTTTAAAATAAAGAGGTAGTTTTTGACCCGTACAGGTCTTCATCAGCCTGGATACGATAAGACAGTGGGTGGTGCATACAACTTTATATTTTTAAAGTTTGAAATCAATCAATCAATCAATAGCATGTCAGCCTCACTTCTTCAAAGGTACAGTATACAGTTTTGGTTCAACACGGGCTACATAATGTGGCGGCTTCTTTCTTCTTCCATTTTCCTAGATATTTGCTACTTTGTATCTAGTTTTTGTTTAAGGAAAGCTTCCGTCCGACCAAAGAGGCTCTTTTTCCCGGGCTCTGCCCAAAACCTTCGCGCATGGAAAGGCCCTGCGCAGGCGTAGTGAATCATTAGCGCCTTACTCTCTTTCTTTCGTCCCTCCCTCCCGCCTTCTTTCCTTTCTGACGCAGGGATTGGCTAATCCCCTTTCTGCCGGAAAGTCAACATGTCCCGCGTGCGGAACAGTGGCCGTAGCTCACATTGGACCAATCGCGGCAGCTCTCGCTCAGAGGGCTGCAGCAGCATTAACCAATGGGCGGCGGCCTTATTGAAGGCGGCGCAGCCCCGAGTGAGTCTGTGAGCGGATCAGCCTGGGTGCTGCTCTTGCGGCTGTGAGAAGACGCAAAGGCTGGGGCAGGTGAGGTGGGGACAGCGAGGAGCTGGGTCAGGCCGGGGCGCGGCTCCTCGTAGGCTCTTGGCACTCCAACCGCGGCTCGGCTGAACGGCGGAGGAGAAGCGAGCAGGCCCTGCCGGACCCTCTTGCTTTGCCAAGGCCCAGTTGGTGAAGGAGGCGAGTGGTGGGAGCGGGTGGGGCAGTCCGGTCTGCTCACGGGCACCATTTTAAGGAGCGGCCTCAGTTCGCCAAGCTGCCGCGGAGGGCTATCCCAAGCTGTGACGCTTCACAGAGAGGACTGGGGTGGGGAGTGGGGGTGAGGGTGGGCCAGGCAGGCAGGCGCCCGTCCGCCTTGTTCAGCGTGACTGTTCTTTCTCGCGTGGTGTCCCATGCGGGTGGGAGGAGAGACGGCTGCCTTTCTCCGGTTGGGGCGGTTCCTTTCCTTTGGCCTTGGCTGTAGTTCTCCGCACGCACGCGTGCCGTGTCTTTCTCGTCCTCCCCCCCCCCCGGCCATGTGTTTGGCGCTTTCTGTCCCTGTTTAACGGGGTGATGGGCCCCACTGTTAAAAGAGAAAAAAAGGGAGCGTCTGGAAGTGGTGTGTGTTAGGAGGAACAAGGGTGAGGGTTAAAACCTGGGATCAGTGAAGTATTCGTGCTCTGTGTGTGCGTTCGGAAAGCCTTCTTGCAGAGACGCCCGGTTAAAATGTGCTCTTTATTTTACCCAACTTCCCCTTGCAGAGTTTAGTCTGGGGTGTTTCTCTGTCCCCTAGTGATTTCTGCTCACCTCTCCATTTCTTCCTCTCTCTTACTCCTCCTCTCCCTCATCGTTCATCTTAAAAATACATACAGTAGTTGCGTTGCAGCTGGCTGGTTTGTGACTGAGCTTTGTAACGGAAGCCGTAATTTTCCTGCGGTTTGGCATCTTTACACGAAGCACTAGCAAGAGCCTGGTATCTTGCTACCTCAGAAAACTAGTTGATTAGTACATGGCTCGATTTTGAAAGAGTCCCATGAATGAAAGACGCAGGAATTTCAGATTTAATCATGATACCTCAGTCACATCAGAGTCACTTCCTTAGTTACTCAACTGATAAGAAACAAACCTTGGCTTTCAAGCACTGTTGGGAGGCTCTTCCAACTGAGCTTAAGTTCTTGCATAGAACTCTCTGTGGAGGATAATTTTCAGTTCATTGATTGTTTACAGTGACGCTGCAGGAGTTGAAATTTTTCAGTAGAAGGATAGCTAAAGATGGAATACTGTATTAAAAACATGTTGAAGAAACTTATCTTAACATCACTACTGCTTGTGCTTTTAAATACAGATTGGTTTTTTCTGTAGTTGGACATATGTCTGCTCCAACTTGGCTTAGTATGTGTCTATTGTTACATGCCTCTTTTCTCCTGCTTGCATTGCGAGTGGAAATTGAATATGTATCTTGGTTCCAATGCATGGATAAGAATTAAGTCCTCTATTCTATGGCTGTTGAATGACTGGTATCAGTGTACATAACTGTTCTGTCTTCCAGATGTTGTTGGAGTGCAGACTCCTCTGTCAATCCTAGCCATCATAGTCAGTAGTGAGGAATGCTGGAACTGAGGTGCACAAACATCTGGCGATCCCCATATTGCCTCTGCCTGGTATCTGGTCCCACTGTATACTGTGTATACTGTGTATACTTAGTTGGAAGTGAGTTCTATTCCCTTTAACAGGACATCATATTGAGCTATTATGAAAACTATTGGACTGGTAGGAGCTATTGAACTTAACAGGACATCATGCTGAGCTACAGTATTATGAAAACTATTGGACTGGTAGGAGAAAGAGAGGACACTCACTCTTTTGTGTAATACAAAATAAATTAATATAATTTGCTAAACTTTGCTGTAATTTGTTCTTTGAGATGGAAGGTGGGGTTTTTTTTGTTCCATGTGCCAGTGGAGGCCTTAGTAAATATTTTCTCAATGGTTCAGCTTTGGTGCCATGTCCAGAAAGAAAAATGTGAAATAACTCAAGATCCACCAATCATTTTAGAAAAATCTTGTTTTGGATTGTTATAGTGATGTTACACAGCTTGGTACTTACAAAAACTGTTTTATCATGTATGGGTTGTAAAAGGTTTGCGACTGGTGTGGGTGGACATTGACTTTATGAACTAATTTCTGAAAAGTCATCTTTGTTGCAAAATTATGCCTACATTTTTTCAGTGCTACGAGGGGGTGCTGATAAGTGTTGAGGCTTTCTCAGAAAAAAATTGAGCTAGGAAGTTGTAACTCAGGAAAAAATTGAGCTAGAAAGTTGTAACTGCCACAATATTCTACATATTCCCCCAGAAAGTCAATGCACTTGGGACATCTGCCCTGCAGCCTCTTAATTCCTTGCAAATAAAATTCTTCTGACTGCTGGTGTAACCACTCATTTGCAGCATTAGTTGCCTCCAGAACACTCCCAAATTACCTTTAGGTGTTTTTTGAGTTTGGGGAACAGATAATAGTCAGAAGGAGCCAGGTCGGGAGAATAGGGTGGATGGGAAATCACTTGAAAGATTAATGACGTCAGTTTTGCCATTGTTTCACCTACAGTGTGTGACGAGGCATTGTCATGCAACAGGATGACACCTTTGGAGAGCTTTCCTCATTGTTCCTTGATGTTTTGCCTCAACTTCAATAAAGCAGAGTAATATTTTGCATTAATGGTTGAACCCTGTTGGAGGTAGTCCACCAGCAGAACTCTTCTTATCCTAAAAAACTGTTGCTATTTGCTTCTGCACCAACCTTTGCACTCGGAACTTTTTTGTCCAGGGAACCACTGTGCCTCCATTCTTTGACTGTTCCTTTGTCTCAGGACCATAACAGTAGATCCATGTCTCGTTACTAGTTACCAGTTTGCCCAGGAAATCTGAACTAGGAAATTGCCCAGGAAATTTCTTGCAAAATGTTCCAAAACAACCACCAATGACTTCACACGTTTCCTCTTTTGCTAGGTTGTCAAAAGTTTGGGGATCCACTTTGCTGCCAGCTTTCTCATTTCCAAGTCGTTGTGGATAATGGCACCAACTCTCTCATGTGATATTCTCAGATATATAGCAATCCTTTTGGCTCATATTCGGCGGTCCTCCATGATCATGTCATGGATGGTTTTCACATTTGCAGGCACAGAGACAGAAACAGGCCTTCCACTGGGTTTCTCACTTTCCACACTCAAATGGCCAGTTTAAAAATGGATAACCCAACATTTAACTGTTGCATATGAAGGGCCACTGTCAGCCATAGTTTGTGACATTTCCTCATGAATCTGCTTTGCACCTTTCCCTTGGAGAAACAGGAACTTGATTATGGTCCTATGCTCTTCCACATTGAACTTTTCTGGAGGGGCTGCCATGTTCACTTTGGACCTGAACATGAAAGATAAGTTAAAATCATAGGTAGTTGATTTTTGCAGCATTGAATACAGACAAATTGGCCAATACACCCTGCAATTTATAGCTTCCTAGCTCAATTTTTTCTGGGAAAGGCTTAATACTTATCAGCACCCCCTTGTATGTTGTAAGAAAGCATGTTTGATGGAGCTTGGTTTCCTGTCTCAGAAGACTGACATTGAAGCATATGATTGCTTATACTTTATTTATAAATTATTTTCTATAGCACAAGTAGTTGTCAGTAATAAATCTGAATAATGAATAAAAGTAAAAGTATGGTTGCTGGTTCAGTTTTCCAGAAATCTTAATACCTGATGGACATATTTTATTTTGTATTTGAAACTATTAAGATAATTTGTCAAGTCAGTATCAATTTAGCTAATAAGTGGAGTTTGCACAGTCACAAAATTCCCGACTGTAGAGATTATCATACAGACATTCAGATTTTTTTTTCAGAATTCACACTTTGGAAAGTAGATTTTTTCCCCTCATCTTGTAAGCTTTATAGTTTAAATATTTATACATGGTAGGTACCATTTTTGTACCACTGCTTGCTTTATTACAGAGGTCAGATGTTCGTGTTGCACATGAATCAGTACTGCTGCTAAGAATGACAGCTGTGTATCAATTTCTTCCCATATCATGTTGTCATTAAACAGTGTATTTCTCCTCCATGGCCCAGCAACCTGAGTCAGTGACACAAAGCAAATTCTTGTTTGATACGGTCACTATATATTATATAAATGTTGGAGTAGGGGAGGCACAACTCGTTTTGGCAACAGTCTGTGTTGAGTATGAAGTATAGATTGAGTGCAGTAATGAATATTCATAACTTGATGTCATTCTTCTTATGCTTAGTGGTTTTCTTAATTTTTTCTAATCATGTGGAAGTTCCTCACAACTGACTTTTGACTCATCGCTTTCATATAAGTGATTCCTCCAGATTGGGTTGGATCTTCACTGCTTTTCAAAGTATCTTACAACTGTTGTGTCATCTAAAATAGTAATCTATTTAGGAGGTTGAATAAAATCAAAAGTCTCAGTTTGCCCAAATGGTACCTAGCTCACAGATGTGCAGTATTTCTAGGATGTTTAATTTTTAAATGGGGTAGCAAAATGTGAGGTGGTGCTATTTTTTGTTTTGAAAGGCCTGTTAGTGTAGCAATAATCAAAATTGAAATATTTTACATAACTTCACCAAAGCATAGATCAAATTAAAATATATATCAGAATTTGTTTATATATCAGTAAAAATGGTAGGTGCTTTAAAGTAGACAGACTGTTGTCAAAGTGTCAAAGCATAGTTCAGACCAAAATAACATGTGTCCGATAATATGGCAAAACCAAGGACTTGAAGGGATCAGATATCCTAATACCCATTACATATCTTAAAGAAATCAGGAATAGATCTTATATTGTATGAAATGATAATATGCAGCCCTCCAGATGTCGGTCTGCAGTTTCAGCAGTGTCAACCACCATAGTTAATGGTGAGAAGAGAATGCAACATCACCTGGAAGGCCACATGTTTTCCATCTCTGACACAAAATGGATTGTCAAAAGAACTGTCCTGTAGTACTCTTATACTTTAATTTGACTAGATCCACATTAATTTAATTACAGCATGTTCATTAATGTCGATGGCTAGATTCATTTTTTAAAGTATTTCAGTTTTTGCTGCTGTTTTAGAGGCCAGGTGGTTCCAAATGTTCTACTCATTGGAGTCACTGGTAGGTGGATTATTTTTATCCATTCTCCTCACCTGCTGAAAAACTGCTCTGGAGGCTTTGGGAAGCCTGTGGAACCATGTGAAAATGGCACTAGAGTCTACAGTTGGGAGGAAGAATTGCTGAAAATTGCCTTCCTCTGGTGGAAATTTCTTCATGCAGAGCTCAGTTTACGGGAACTCTGGATTGCATTTGTAGTTTACAAAGGCGATTTAGTACAAAAAAGAATTTTATTCTTTGTTAATTTATAATTCTGTATTAGCAAACTAACCCTTTAAAACTGTACATGTATATTGTTTTACAGGTGGATAAAAGATCTTACAGATGGCAGATAACAGGTGAGTCCTCTATTACCCATATCTTAAAAACTTGTAAGAATCTGGTTTATTGTAGTCATTGTGAAAAGTATTCAAGAATTGATATGGACTGTTGGAACTCAGAAGCTCTATATTTTATGATAGATGCTTTAGAATCTTGAGTATATAGTTCTTGTCATGGGGGATTATGCTTTCTGTGAAATTACCTTCTCTGTAACAGTGCTTTCATGAGTTGTGCATCTGCTGAAATGCACATGTACTTTTAGTGTACATTAGAATAGCACTGTCTCTTATTTCAGACCTGAGTACAGTTCCCCAGATTTGAGTGTTTTGCAATTTTCAGTGTACTTAGTCCTTTTTATCCTTTAGTACAGTGGTTCCCAGTCTTGGGTAACCCATGTAGCCCTGGCCAGTACAACTAGTGGTGGAAGCTTCTGGGAATTGCAATCCAAGGACACCTGGGCTACTCAAGAGTGAGAACCATTGCTTTTGAAATATGGGCTGTCCTTCAGTTGAAAATAGCAAAAGTCTTTGGAAGCTTATTGTGATACGTGTACTAGTAATTTTGGCTAAAAAACTGTTGTTCCCCCACCTCCCCACATGGACCTAATAGCATGATTGCAGTGGCTAATAGAGACTAGTCATGTTGCTATTTACGCAACAACCGGACTGGCAACAAGCACATTGTTAATTAGCCTCAATGAGACAATGCAACATCTGCAATTGCACTTCAGTGTGCAGAAATAACCAGTAGGGTTTTGGCTTTTGAGATAAAATTGCTCTTATCTTTTCTAGTATTCATATTATAGTAGAGTCAGTTTTCTAACTGTTTATAGAGTACTATCTTCTCTAAATTTGGTTATTGTAGCCTAGTATTGGAAAGTCATTTGGGGGAGTTCAACCAAACCCAAGTTTGCCTAAGTCTTATCTGCCCATCATGTTTAGCTGTGTCTGGCAGAGAGTAATTGATTGAGTTGGTCTAAGAGATGCTTCTTAGTGGTAATCATGGATACCTCAGAGCAGGTGGTAGTATGTATACTTCTGGAAATGGATTCCTTTGACCTAAGTGACTAGAACAGTTATCACCCAATGTTTGACCAAGGTTGCTTGAGCAAGTGGTGGCACTTCAGTTCCAGGCATTTTTGACAAACTTTCTAGACCCAGTTTAGTGAAGCTTTATGCCAGATTTTGGCACAAAAGCATTTTGTTTCACTGATGAATGCCCTAAACTTTCATCACTTAAATCAGTGATTCTCTTGGATAGCCCAGGTGTTCTTGGACTGTAACTTCTGTAGCCAGCACAGCTAGTGGTGAAGGGTTTTGGGAATTGCAGTCTAGCAACACCTGGGTTACCCAAGGTTGGGAACCACTGACCTAAATATATTAAATCTCTTCAGAGATACAAGATGGATGCAGTCCTGTTTGCAGAGCTTGTGCTGGATTTTTGCTTTTATTAGCCATTCTGTTTGGCAAATGACATTTTCTTTTCCCCTTATTCTTCACACTTTTAGTTACTGATGATACTATCAGCCATGGCATCCTATCATCAGTTCAGGGAGTTCATGGCAGAGTGTTACAGTAACTGTACAGGGAGCTTCCAGTGGGCTATGCTGTAGGAATTCTGTTTAATTCCTTGGCACTAGAGTCCCATAAGGATTTATATGTAGGTATTATTTTTTTGAGAGGAGAGTTTAACTGCCAGAATTCTCCAAGAACTCCCTAGGCAGAATTTTGAGAGTTCCTTCCAACTCACAGACACATATCTACAGATACCTGTATTTTGGTTATGTAGAGCAGGGCCCGTCTTCCAGGCTACTTGATAACCTTGAGCCTACTTCCTTTTAAATTACAAAAACGAAACTGCCCTTGTGCTTTGTGGGAGGCCTAGGTTTTCATGGGAGGTATAGTTCTTTGGAAGCGTTCTCTATCTAGCCATTCTCAGCGGGGGCCATATGGCCCTCTGGAGACCTTGGCAGATTTGAAGAGAGCCACAGGCTGGAAACAATTCTTCACTCTCCGCCTTAAAGTTTGTTATGTGCCTTACACAATCCTGATTCAGCCTGTATTATTTTCATATTGTGTTTATGATTGGCCAAAAAAAGGATGAGAATGGCTGCTAGTTTATAGAGACGAATAGGCAGTGAGATTACGCCTCCCACAAAAAGACCTAGGCCTTCCAGGAAGTATCAGGGCAGTTTCTTTTTTGTACATAAACAAAATGACATAAGCCCAAGCAGCCAGGACAGTACACCCTGTTCCAGTTGAACAAAATGTCTATACATATGGAAAGTGGGTGGTACAATTTGGAAATCCAAGAATTCTGGGAGCTGGAGATGCAAAAGTACCAAACGGCACACCTTTAGTTCCATCTTCTTCACAGAATCCTGCTGCCCATGCAAACCTGGTAGTCATAGGAAGAGTTCAAGTGATGGGTCATTACTTTGTAGTAACATTCAACTTTGTATCGTGGTTTCATGTGTGCTTGTCAGAGTGCTTAATCAGTGCCTGGATTCAGTAATGGGATGGATGAGCAGCAGTTAACTGAAGCTTAATTCTGATAAAACAAAGATCCGTAGTTAGTGGATAGTTTTGTAGTTTAGTTTAGAGAGATGGATTTCAGTCTCTCCTGAGTTCCCCTGAATAGCCAACATTGCAGCTTCTGTGTGCTCGTCAATCCACCATTATCTCTATCAGATGTGTTTGTTAGGACAAGCAAGAGAGTGTTTTTGTTAGTGGTGCCTCGAGTGCTAAATGGCCTCCACAAGGAATGTGTGCCTGACACCAACTTTGCTGTCTGCTAGATGATATGGCAATGCAGTTAGACTTGCTAGCTTAACTGTTTTAAGTTTTCCAACCTAAGGGTGATTTCATTGCTGAGTGTCTGTGTTTGCAGTACACTCCTGCATTTTGTGTTGCTTTTGGCAACTCTACTGCAGTTTGGATGTCTGTGCTCTTATATGTAAAATGGACTGAGAAATTGCCAGTGTGCATCATAAGGTGTTCAGTATTTTTACTTTTTTATGTTTTTCTTCACGGGTCTGATTTTCACTTGAAAACTGTAGGAAATGTAAATTGTAAATTGAGTTACCCTTGAACAACCTATGCTTATGGTTAGTTAGAAGCATATACTTTTCTGTTGATATTACTTTTAAAAGTAGAAATTAGTGTTAGTGATGTGTGGTGAAATTTTCTTGGCAAGTACAGTGGTGCCCCGCAAGACAATGTTAATTCATTCCGCGAAAAACGCTGTTTTGCGAAAACATTGTCTTGCGAAATGCGGTTCCCCATTGGAATCCATTTGATGCATTCCAGTGGGAAAAAAAGTCGTCATTTTGTGAAAATCAACCATAGGAAAACTGTTTTGCGATGCGCGGATCAGCTGTCAAAATCGCTGTCTTGCAAAAAATGGTCCCAAAAACATCTGTTTTGCAAGTCGTGGACCTAGCTGTCACAATCGTCATCTTGCGAAAAACGGTCCCAAAAAACCCCATCTTGCGAAGCACGGACCGGAACATCGTCCAGCGAAAATCGCCCATAGGAAACACTGTTTTGCTAAACGCTATAGCAATCGCAAAAACTCATCGTCTAGTGAATAAACCGTTTTGCGAGGTAATCGTCTAGCGGGGCACCATTGTAGAGTGAAAACTAGTGTGGCCCTTTGTGTTGACGAAATGCAGTGTAATGTGACTAGCAGCATTTTTAACCTTTATCTGTCCTCTATTGGCATTTGCAACAAAATTGAGCATATTTTTTTTTAAATCCTTTTGTACAAGTTGATTCCACTGCCATATTGGCAAAGGTGTTTCAAATTAATAGCAAAATATAAAACAAACATTTTTGTTTTTAAAATGTCTGTTTAGCATAATTCACAGTTTGAAGTATAATCACATGTTCCTACCTTGACACTGGATCCCTCACTGTGTTGGTCCATCAGTGGACCACTATGGTGGTCTCAAGTGTAGACTATTGTAACAGTCTCTACATGGGACTACCCATAAGGGTGGTATGGACACTCCAGCAGATCCACAACATGGCAGCTAGGATTCTAAGTGGAGCAACAAAAAAAAATACCAACATATTTCTGCAATTTTGACTGCCTTACAGTCACTGCCTGTTTCCGTCCCAGCTTCAAGGTGATGGTGTTAACCTACAAAGCCCTAAATGGTTTGGGACCTTATTACCTGGCAAAATGCCTATTCCCAAGTGGAACTGTCAGCACTACCTGTTCCTCCAAGGCAGGATGGCTGAGGATGTTGACTCTGAGAGAGGCTCACAAAGAAAAACAAGAAGAAACTTGGCCTTCTTGGCAGTCACTAGTCAGATGTGGAATGAGTTACCACCCACTTTTGCCTAGCCGTTTCTCTTGGGTATCTTCAAGAACAGCTTAAGACCTGGTTATTTTGACAGTCATTTCAAAATATCCCATCTGCAGAGCATATCTAAACTGCTGCTACAACTGAAATGCTGTAAAATCACTGCCAATTTAAATGTTTAGCTGTTATTTATTGTGTTGTAGTATGCATTTTAATAGCTTGTTATTTCTGTTGTATACATTGTAGGTGTATCATTTTTAATTTGATTTTGATTGTTTCTGTTTTTATGTTGTAAACTGTGCGGAGTGGCTTTCAGCTAGATGGGCAGTATAGAAACTGAATAAATAAATAAATGTATCATAAATACATGTTTTTGCAGTAAAGCAGAAGATGCGGCCTCAGATTCTGTGGAAGCTGCTAAAGGGACAGGTGACAAAAAAGGTAACTGACTGAAATACCACGTTTTAAATGTTTAGACATCAGAATGAATTTATAGCTGTGATTGGCAGGATCTTTTTCATCTCTTTAAAAGCTTTAGCACTGAAAAATGATGCAGCTGCTATGCTTCCTGTCTTGGTTTTAATGTCTGGCTCATTTCGGCATCTATCTCAGTGAGGTAGATTTTCTGCCTACAGTGGGATGGATAAGTGAGGGACGTGGCAGAGGAACAAGGTTGAAGACACAATAGTTGCATGTTCTGTTGTTTCTTTGGATAAGGTCAGTTTTTCCCCTTGAATTGTCTTTAGGAATCTCAGTATCTTCTGTGTATTGAATAGACACCAAGGGGACATAGCAAAGCATATTTTTGTTCGCTTCCCAGGGTCTTCTGTGTATTGAATAGACACCAAGCAAAGCATATTTTTGTTCGCTTCCCAGGTTTGTAAAATTTGTTCAAAGATTCTCGAAAGTGCTGACTTTCCAAAATTAAGACTAAGACCTAATGGTATTAGGGATGTATGGTTCTGTAGGAATTGGAGCTGCACCTGTTAGGGTTTAGGGGTTGAAATCCTGTTGGTATAATTGTGTCCTCAGAAGGCTGATGTAGCTGTACCAATAGGATTTCAGCAAATGGTACATGAAACTGCTAAGAAAAATCTATAGTTTGTTGTTAGACTTATTTAAAATTTACCACTTCTTTTACAGAAAAATTAGCAGCTCAAGTAATGCAAAATCCACAAGTGTTGGCAGCTTTGCAGGAACGACTTGATAATGCACCTCACACTCCCTCCAGTTACATTGAAACGTAAGTGTGAGAAACATACTTTATTGCAAGTTGAAAATTCATGAAAAGTCTCAAAAATGCACGAATGCTTTCAGTTTGTTCTTCAACAACTATATTTAGAATATAGAGTTACATGATAGTTACAGTGATAGGCTTTCCATAAAGTCTAATATTATTTAGTCAGACTTTGCATTATACCCTGTAATTACTTGTGTTTTGTCATGCCTCATCACTGGAGCCACGGTTTCTTATGAGTTTGTCATTTTCAAATTAAAACAGTTTGTAATTATTTGATTGAAATTGTTCTGTTCCAATCCAATTTCATTTGCTCCCACTAAGCATTACAGTGACAAATGTTCCATGTCTTGTGGTACAGATTTGAGCTTTCCTTGATTCATACTTCTCACATTGAATGTTCCAGTTATATGCATTATACTATATCAGATTTTCCTTTTAACTTTGTGTGTATCAGCAACTGGATATCCTTTCAGGTTTATTGCAAGTACTTCATTAGTGTCAGCACTGTTTATATTTAGACATGGGTTATTTGTGTTCATATCCATTCCCTCTCTCCAGAACCAGTTGGTCCACTCACTGTTCGCTGTGCAACACTGGGGTCCTTTGCCATTGTCATCATGCAAGTCTGGGAAGGAGGCTGGCCAGTGATTTCCCCACCTTCCTTTGCAGTTGATCACTCATCAGCTGAGCGGGGAGACTCCCCATCCTGCAGGCTCACTGGAGTGGGGAAGCACTGGTTGGGCTCTTTTCTGGATTGGCATCATGACAACAGTGAAGAACACAGACAGAGTTCTACCTCCTGTCCTCTGAAGATGCCAGCCACAGAGACAGGCGAAAAACCTCCAGAACACAGCCAAACAGCCTGAAAAGCCTACAACAACCATTGGATCCTGACCATGGAAGCCTTTGAGAATACCGGAACTGTTCCTTTGTGGTATAATTCTATGTATGTACATTCAGAAACAGTCCCCTAATATTCAGTAAGACTTCCAGTGAAGTGTCTACAGCAGGGACACACAATCTGGTATCCTCCAGGTGTTTTGGGCTGTGCCTCTGAACTTTGGTCATGTTGGCTGGGGCTCAGCGTTACTTATCCCTGGTACATAGGGTAGTTGCCTTAACCGGGCACTGGCACTTTTGAGTGGCAATGATTCTTGGTGGGTAGAAGCTAGAGTACTTTTTCAGCTCTACTTTCAAAAACAAGTAATTTTAATTGGAAGTGCCAGGGACTTGTTTGCAAATAACGCGCTATCTCTTGTTCCTGGAATATAAAATACACAGAAGAGATTTATGAATGTCTTCTGCACAGTATTAAAAATTAGATTGAATGCTTAACATTGGCAGTGCAACCTTTTACCACTGTTGTTGTCCAGCAAAACAGTTCTTGTGATGATGTGACAAACATAGAGTGACTTAATCTGGATTTATGATGAATCTGCTATTGGCAACAATGGGCAGGGGTGACACCCACATTCTTAGTTTGATTTATGAAAACAGTTCAATCTGAAGAGGTCCCGCATTGTATGCAGGCATTATTTTGTGTTTGTTTTGATTTTCTAATTGCTAAGAAAGGTTACTTTTTAAATGTCAGTGAACGTGGGTTAAAAATGCTAAGGTGCTTTTGAAACTTTCAGGATAATAATGTGGAATTCTTCAATGCTTTTCTGTCCAATATATTGTCAGGAATTCTGTTGCACAACTTTATGCCAGGGACTCTTTTTAATACCAGAAAATTGCCGCTGTCATGACTTCCGCCAATCAGACTACCGTGTTTCTTCAAAAATAAGACAGGGTCTTATATTAATTTTTGCTCCAAAAAACGCATTGGGGCTTATTTTCAAGGAATGTTTTATTTTACAGTTATGTCATATTCTGATTGCTGCACGGTGCTGCACAATGGTGGAGGGTGGGGTTTCACTTAACTGGGTCTTACATTATGAGCATCCTGAAAAATCATACTAGGGCTTATTTTCAGGTTAGGTCTTATTTTGGGGGAAACAGGGTAGTATTTTCAGTAAGCATGTACTGAAACTTTCTAGTCTGTTTTTTGTGAGTGAAACTAGGTTAAACCACTGTCTATGAGCAGGGAATGGGAAGGAAAATCATTTTTATTTTTTACTTCTGTTTTGATATATTCTTTTTTCAGTCACAAGATTTAGATGTTTCTGTTAGATGGTGTTTGTAGCATTTTATAACTAAGTTATAAAAATATGAAGAAAGACTGGTGTTGAATTAAGGTAGAAGACACTATAATGCACATTAAATAACTTTGCTTTTAGCTTACCAAAAGCAGTGAAACGAAGAATTGATGCCTTGAAACAGCTTCAGGTGAAATGCGCCCACATAGAAGCTAAATTTTATGAAGAAGTTCATGATTTAGAGAGAAAATACGCAGCTCTCTACCAGCCTCTCTTTGATAAGGTAACGTGAAATGGGCATGTAAATTCATCTGTAACCTTCTGGACTAATAGTAGTGGGAAAGTACCTTATTGTTCTCTCAGTGTAACAGTTCTTATGATTGGGAAGGTTAAAATGGAACAAAGCACTTTTCTTTTATACAATTCAGCATGCAGTTCTGTTTATAAGAGTCCTCATGGAGTTCTCTAGGCTCAGCTACTGATGTCCTGATGTTGTGTACATTGACAAAAGAGTGATAAGAGCAACAGAGATTAGGGCTTCTAAATCAGAATAACATATATTATGTATCTTAATTGAGATAAATTTTCTGCTGCTGATACTGCTTAGCTCTTTATAATGTATTGGGCTATTTCTATTAAATCTTTTGTTTTTTAATTATATAGTCAGTTTCATTTTTAAAATGATCAATAAGTAGACAGATGCAGTCTATAATTCCTTCATCTTACCTTAATTTTTCAAGACAAATAGTGGATGGAAGTAAGTTTAAGTTTTGTTACATTAAAATATGTGGAAATGGAAATAAAACAAAATATAGCAGAGTTTAAAGGTACATATTCACTACTTTGTACTTAGAATAAAAGTGTTTAAAATCCAGTTCTCAGTAGGATGTTGGTTATTTATTTGATTTAAGATAAAGCAATATGGAAGTGTTAAGAGGTGACAGAGTGAAAAAATGGTCTAGATACTTCTGAATAAATTAATACAGTTGCTGAACTGCTTGAGCAGACACTGATGACTAATGTGTTTTGATTCTTGTGCTGACATTTAATAACCTTAGTATCATCTAACATATGTCCAATCTTTGTCCATCTTTCACAGAGAAGGGACTTCATCACTGGTGCTGCTGAACCTACAGATGAAGAGGCAGAATGGCACAGTGAAAATGAAGAAGAGGAGAAACTAGCTGTAAGTAGAAATAACTGGATAACCAGAATGTTACAATTCTTAAAATAAAGATATGAAGGTTTATATTTCTTATATGGTCTTCTTATGAAGTAATCAGCACAAAATACATCCAGAGCCTGTGTTCGATGGCAGGAATATTTTGGACTTTTTTCACTGTTTCTGTAGCATCAGAATATAACTGCATGTTCCAAATATGCCATCAAAGAAATTTAATACATTAAAGTGAAACTGACCATTCCTATATGGATTTGTTTCAGTAGTCTTATTCTGTCATTTGCACTGTTCGTAACCTGTTGACAGCCTCTTCTGCTAATGGGTTCCATTCCAGTGCTATAGCAAATACCCAAGATGAGAAAAGATTGGCTATTTCTGCCTGTCATCTCTGTTTTGGGGGACATAATGTGTGCTAGGCAGGAAGATGAGTTTTACATGTATAACATGTGCTTTATGATAAATCTTTGATGCATGAAGTTTACACAAGTCTCCTGAATTATTTGCAATTTGGAGTCAGATTCTGTTAGTTGAGCAAATGCTATCTCTAGAGTGTATGCTGATTTCCCCCCTCAGCATTGCAAGCCAGTTTGTGTGTAACAATGACGTAGACATTTCAGAACTCTGTCTTTTTAGGAACAGAACAAGAGATCTGGTGCATGTTGCCCAAGCGGTCCTCCTTGGCTACATCTGCTGGTTTAAGTGGCTAAACAAACTGATACTAGTTCCAAGCCCAGATTCCACATAAGCAAAATTCTGAAGCCAAGCACAAAATTTGGCTTCAGATTATCCCTTGTGAAAATAACAAGCCAGGAATGCCAGTTTGGATATAATGCTAAGTGGGCCACATATTGAGGCATTATGTTTTGTTTTGCCACTTCTACTGGTACAGGAAGCCAAGTAGCAATTGTCAACCAGCGTACACTAACAATCTTGCTTACTTCCAATAAAATTACATTCTAGCTTAAATGTGAGCCAGGTTTATCATTAGTTTTGCCTCCTCCAAGTCTTTATATTGGGGGTCATGTCAAACAGTTCTTGCAGGTGCGATGAAAAGGTTTGCTTTCCTTGTACTGTATGTGACATTAGTCTATTCTTTTATCCATTTCCTTGAGGTGTTAATTGCAGGCTGCTCTGCTCTTGTATGGTAATATTTTTCTCCAGAAAAAACAAACAGTGCCCCAAACAGTGTGTCATGAGGCAGTATGCCTGAGGAGGTGTGATGAGGGCAAGAATTTGTGGTAGGGCTCTTCTGACTAATTGCTTCAGCTTTAAAAGGCAGATGGGCAGTGGTGGAAAGTAATTAGGCAAGTGCAGTTTGGCAGTCCTTTTGAGTTTGTCTCTAATTTCCGCAGGATAACAATAACACCTTTGATGTAATACTTTTTGACATTGTTAATATTTTTTCTCTTCTCCAAACTTCTAGCCTATTCTCCCCATTTACTGTGCTTCACACAAATACTAGTTAGTGGGATATAGTGACCTAAAAAAATGAAAAGGCTGAGTTGTTTTGTGATTAGTTGATGGATTATTCTCAACATATGCAGCATATCATTAGAAGCAGGACTGAAATAGGAGCTTTGTTGCACTGTTTGGGCTTGTAAAGAAAGAAAATGGAGTTTAGGAGTTGGGGGGGAAGAAAACTGCTAAAATTTCTTGTTTACATTCAGACATATTTAGATGACTCCTGGGGTAGTCAAGAAATTCTAAAATTTAATTTAAAGTGTGATTATTCTGGATAGTGGAGTGATAAGTGTTCAGCGTTAATTGAAATGATGCCTAGCAATTAGTATATATCCTTTTAAGGAATATAGAATGTATTTAAAGGGTTTCCGGTTAAAACATTAGAGTAATGTAAGTGAATCTCTTTTTCTGTTTCTAGGGAGACTTGAAAAGTAAAGTAGTAATAGAAGAAAAAGAACCAGGAGCAGCTGAAGAGACAAGTCCCAAAGGAATCCCTGATTTTTGGTTCACAATATTTAGAAATGTAGATATGCTGAGTGAATTAGTACAGGTAAAACATTATAAATATCTTTACCTGTGGATTTGTGTTATGTCTTCTCAATGTGGTTAAATAAGCCTTGCCTGAAATTATTAATAGGTCCACGCTGTCCGTAAGATGTAGCATTCTTTTTTCAAATCTTGCTGTGACAAATCATTGTTGAATTGTAGAATTCCCACACTTATCATAGCTGCCTCTTGTCTCACTTTCTACTGTGTAGGAAAAAAATTAGAGAATATCAGTAGTCATAGAGAGTGCTGGGCTTCACAGCCAAATTTTGGTTTCTCATAGGACTGATCCCTAGCCTAGCACCACCCACTCTCATGAAGAGCATTTAAACAGCAACAAAATATGTTCTTCCAACATAGGTGGTTTTAAAGAAGTTATACAGATTATTGAAAGGTGAGTCTGCATGTCATTAGAGTTAAATTAAGCCAACAGGTTCAGAAGCAGGCTACTGCTGGATATTAATACTGTGAGCAAACATTAGCAGAAGGCTATTTACTTTCATGGTTATCCATCGAGACTCTTGTGTCTAATGTGATGGTGGTTAGTATTCCTGCTACTTTCTAAGCTGCCCTCACCTAACTGAATCACTAGCAACAGAAATGTTTTTAATGGGATGCTGTGTTCTTTATTAATTTTCAATGTTCTGCCCGGTGGCCCTCTAAGTTAACTTTGTTTTGTCAGCCTCAACACAGGGTCATTATCGCATTTTAAAGAACCATCCCACAACTTAGAAGAAAAAAAAATCACCCTGAAGTATTAGAAGAGAAACTAGTGGGTGCTAGGGAGGTGTCTGCAGGCATATTGGGGCCCACAGGCACCACAAAGGGTGCCCTATAAGGAAGTAACTTTAGGGAGGTTTCTACAGGTAATACTAGTATTGGAAAAGGGAAAAGAAGAAAGCAAGAAATTTAGCTGGCATGTGAATATGCCTACTGGTTCTTGTGCGTAATGCAAAATGCAATGGGAAAGATCGAACAAAGCAAGGAAACTGAAGACCCTACCAGTGAAAATAATGACAAATGAAAGCAGTCTGAAGAGTTTGAAAGGATATGGCCTAAGGACAAGATTCACTTTTCAGATATACAACATTTGTTCAAACTGGTGGATAGAAAAGTACTTTGACGTTAATAATTCATACATGCCCTATGAGAGTAGGCAATAGGGAGATGTCTCCTTTTATGTAGTTAAGCTAGAACCTGTCAAAATGTTCTGGGTTTAAGAGACCAATCTAATCCATGCTGGACAAACTTCAGAACAATAGATTCAAGGCCTCTGGCTTGACACAATAGAACAGCAAAGAACAAGTCCATATGCCTGATATACTGTGTTCATGGGATCCCATGGGAACTTTTAAGACTTTAGGAGGCTATTTTTTTAATTCGATTTATATTCCGCCCATCTAGACCAAAGGTGTACTCTGGGCGGCATTACAAATTTAAAAACAGTAAAACCAATAAAACCAATAAACATGCAATAAATCCAAGATGTTAAAATGTGAATTTAAGATACAACTATCCAAAGTAGCCCAGGCCTACACTCATTCTAAGCAGTGAACTGCAACAAATCCCACTTGGGACATATACCAAACATGCTGAGAACCACGGATGTTTCTTCCTAAGATCATCTACCCATTCCCAGGCTTCCGTGTTGCAGGTGACCACTCCAAGGGAGGCTCAGATAGCGACCACTAGGAACTTGGGCCTTCTCAGTCATGGTTGTAATGCTTTGGAATGCGTTGTCTGTGGATGTAGGCCAGGTGCTCTCCTAGCAGACATTTAGGAGGCTGGTTAAAACAGCTTTTAAATAAGCCTTTAAGAACATCCTCCTCCTGTGATAGTTTTCTTGACTAATTTTGTTTTAAAAAATTTTTCTGTTTAGCTGTTGCCTTTGGGGGTTTCTTTGTTTGAATTACTGTAGTTTGCTTTTAGTTGAGGGGAGTAGGCATGGGGTTTTTAGGTGTTGTACATCACCCAGAGTAGTGCTTTGCCACTAGGTCGATAGTACAGTGGTGCCTCGCATAGCAATGATAATCCGTGCAGCAAAAATCGCTGCAAAGCGATTTCGTCTCTATGTGATTTTAAAGAGTCCATAGGAATGCACTGAAACCCCTTCAATGCGTTCCTGTGGGATTAAAACTCACCTTAAAGCGAAAATCCTCCATACGGTGACCAAAGAATCCGCGCGAAAACACAGCGGGCGGCCATTTTTTTACCCAGCGGCCATTTTGGAACCGCCGATCAGCTGTTGGAAAATCATCGCTATGCGATGATTGGTAAGCGAAACAGCGAACCGATCATCGCAAAGCGATTTTTCCCCATAGGGAACATCGCAATGCGAAAGCAAAATCTTCATCGCTATGCGGTTTCGTCGTTAAACGGGGTGCCCATTAAGCGAGGCACCACTGTATATAAATGAAACAAATAAATAAATGTTTCTCAGATCAAGTAGGGAAAGATACCAGCAGATAATGCAAGGACTACAGAAGTCAAACTAATGGCCAACGTCTAAAAGAAAAAAAAAACATAATTGAGCTGTAAGTGGTCTGAGCAGCTCAGATAATGTTTATTCTTAAAGGGCAAAAGAACTTCTGGAAAGTATCAGGCACTTCCTGAATTTCAAGGGCTTTCATTGTTTGGTTTCAAGAGTCAGCTCTGAAATTTGATTCCTTTTTCTGAGTCATTAAAGCTGGTGGGAATGGATAGGTCATAACTAAAGTGTGTAGTAAACATCTCTTTGCACCATCCAAGATGGGATCTGAGATACTTAGGACAATGTGACTACTGTATGCTGTTCAGTGGTGGCTAGTTGCTGCCAATGGCATCAACTGATGTTTTAGTCCAATGACATTATGGTAAAGCCATAAAAACACTGGAGATCTGTGCTGATGTATTCTCTTTCGTGTTTTGTTCCTTATTTACAAACTTACCTTTTTCCATCCCTTACTGTGCTTGTGTGCCTCCTCTAATTAACCTGTGGGGGAAAACTCTGTCTAACTCTTGAGTGGGTATTTTTTTGATATGCAAGGTAGGAATTCAGGTACATTTTATTGACAGTTCTTGATATAATAATTTATTCTAGGGGTTATAAAAATGAAATATTTGATTTTGTCTAGAAAGTTATTGACTCTAGAGCTGAAGTGGAGAGAGTTACGTATTTTTCGCTCCATAAGACGCACCTTTCCATAAGACGCACCAATTTTTTAGGAGAAGAAACAGAGCTGAAGTGGAGAGAGTTAACTTGAAAATAAAAGGGTATGCAGTATTTAAGATTGCAGCAGTTGTGCTAGGTAAGATTATGGTTTATTGAAATGTGAAACATGTGTTTCCTGTTACTTAATAGTTTTCCAATATATTTTTAGGAATATGATGAGCCAATTCTGAAGCACTTGCAAGACATCAAAGTGAAATTTTCTGAGCCCGGACAACCTATGGTTAGTATTATTAAATTTTTACTGTAATGTTGACAGTCAGAGTTGGCATTTATGGTATGAGCATAGAAGCATGCAATTTTTACCTTGTATTGAGATACTATATTGATTCCTTAGCCCTGCTTTTGTATTGGAGCAATCTTTGAATAGTAGAATTATCACAATAGCAGCATGTGCAGTTACTAAGAGTTAATGAAATAAAAAATACCTTCAAGAAATTTGATCTTTGCACTTGCATTCCTTTTGAGCATTTCTGAAGTATGTTCATTCAGCGTAACTAAGAATGATGTAGATTTTTCTAGTTTCCACTTAAAGACTAGTAGATTTATTTCAGTATGTGCTTTCCTGAATTGCAATCCACTCTTTCAAACATGTTGAATGAAATGCTTAATTAGAGGTTTATTAATACGTTGATATTTGTGTTAATAATTATTGTCACATCACTGGGTTTCCATTCCTAGAATGTACATTTTTCTATAACCCTTTGACTCAAAAATTTGCTCTGTGTGTTCGAGAAGGTGAATTGTAATCCATTAAAGCTCTCACTGAAATTAAAAAAAGGAAATAAATAAGTCTTTAATGTGCCATAGTACTTCTTTTTTATTACTTTTGTTTTATTTGTGTTGCACATGTTGAAACAAACTACTGCTTCTTCCTTTTTGAAAATACAGCTAGAATGAGGTGATTCTGTAGAAATAAGGAGTTAGCACTAATTCATAGTCAGCTGTTCCGCTTTAGAGGCCCCTGTATAGAACTTTGAGGGTGTTGTGACTGCTCAAAGTTATGTAGCCCATTATTGACTGCTCAGTAACAGTGCATGGCTTTGCTTTCAGAGGCTAGATACCAGATCATCTTTCTCGGTCACATATACGTATTTGGAATTGTCTCTTGAATATAGCTATGGGAAATCCACAACTACTAGAAACTTGTTAGTAAACCTGAACTTGATGCTTCAGGTTGGCTTTCTCATGGCATACAATGAAGTTCTCCTTGTGAAAATTATTTTGGTCACTCACTATGTGTGTATCGCTTTTCATATACAGTGGTGCCTTGACTTACGAATGTCCCTACTTACGACCATTTTGAGTTACAACCAGCTCTGGCCGCAAAATTTTGCTTCTGCTTGCGACTTGAGTTTCCACTTATGAACAGAAAAAGGCAGGGGAAAAAGGCGGGAAATTCAAATTTCTAACTATAGGTGGTGACGAGGTTGCTTCTTTGTAGCTCTTTCACCCCAGCAGTTAAGAGAGTGCTTCTGACTGCCTCCTCCTGCTTCTGGTGTGTGTGTGTGTTTGCAGGGAGGCTTCGGGCTGCCTGATAAGATAAGGTGCTGTTTTCTGCTTTTTAAAAACTGTTCTGGGTGTTTTTGCAGCGTGGTTTTGAGCTGGGGGGGGGTTGTTTCTGTGTTGTGATGGGTCTTGGGGCATTTGGTTTTTTTGGCTTTCCCCTCCATTTCCAATACCTGGGGGGGTTTGTTTCTGTGTTGTGATGGGTCTTGGTGCATTTGTTTTTTTGGCTTTCCCCTCCATTTCCAATGGGTCTTGGGTGGTTTGGTTGCTTTTTTGGGGTTTTCCCCCATTTCTTGGAGGGTTGTATTTGTTTTTTTGGCTTCCACCCCCCCATTTCCGATGGGTCTTGGGGGTTTGGTTGCTTTTTGTTTTTTCTCCATTTCCGATGGGTCCTACATGCTTCCCTTGCTTTTTCCTTTGTTTTCTTTGCATTTCCGACCTGCCCCCCTTTGTTCTCTGTGCATTTCCAGTGGGTCTTGCACACTTGATTGCTTTTCTCCCCTCCCCCTTCGGCCGGAAGGGATTAATCGTGTTTCCAATGAGTCTTGCAGTGATTTTTTTGGTGATTTTTTTCTTCAACCAGAATGGATTAATTGCATTTCAATGCATTCCTATAGGGAATGGTTCTTCAACCTACGACCATTTCAAATTACGTCCATCTTCTGGAACAGATTATGGTCATAAGTTGAGGCACCACTGTACAGTATTTTATGATCAAGTGGTCCACAACAAAACTAGCATCTCTCTGCCTCTCTGTCTCTCCCCCTCCATATAATGGATAGGTTAGAACAGTTTAATTACAAGCAGCATCTCTCTGTCTCTCCCCCTCCATATAATGGATAGGTTAGAACAGTTTAATTACAAGCATGTGCAAGAGGCTTAACATCAAATTAATAATTACATTATTGGCAAAACCAAGATGAAACATCCTGCGTCCTTGATAATTAGGAGCACCAAGAAACTGTCTGTATCTAAAAATCTTGAAAGAGAGACAGGACTGGTGGTCAGTCCCATATGTTGCAACTGTAAGCAGGAGGTGGTAGAACTCTCTCCTCCGTTGTCAGTTGGGAAAGTTATGTTTCTTTGAGGGAACTCCTGTTTGGCTCGTGGACCGCATAGAACCCTTTCTACTACAATTTTAGTAAGGTCTTTTGGATCCTCAGCATCATCACAAATACTAAAGCAGGAGTTTTATTTATTTATTATTTGTCTTCTCCCCCGCCTCTCTAGACAGAGTCTACTCGGGGTGGCTTACAAAGAAGAATAAAACATTATAAAATACAATCAAATACAATAATCAAGTATATATGAATCAATCACATAATTAAATCTTCAAATTGATCAAGATGGGAGAAACCTAAAGAAAAAAGAAAATCAGGTGTTGACTGGAGGGAAGGCCTGGCTGAAGAGCCAAGTCTTTAAATGACTCTTAAAAACATCCAGCGAGGGTGCCAGGGTGATTTCCGGCAGCAAGGTGTTCCATAGTCGAGAGGCCACTGCTGCGAAGGCCTGGTTTCTTGTTCTTTCTTTCTGGGCCGCTCGGCGTTAGGCCCCTCAGCCGTCTTTCCTGGCTAAAACGAGTGACTCGTGTAGATCTAGGTGGGAAAAGGTGCTCCGCCATGTATCAAGGTTCTAAACCGTTTAGGGCTTTACAGGTCATCATTAACACTTTGAAGTGGATACGGAAATGAATGGGAAGCCAATGCAAGGCAGCCAGGATGGGAGAGATGTGCTGGTATTTTCTCATCCCAATGAGAAGTCTGGCTGCCGCATTTTGCACCATTTGAAGTTTCTGCAACAACCTCAAAGGTAGCCCCACGCAGAGTGCATTGCAGTGGTCTAATCTCGAGATTACGAGCGCATGGACCAGAGTGGTGAGTGCCCCAATCAGATAGGAACGCAGCTGGGCAATATGCCGCATATGGAAATAGGCAGAGCGGACCACTGAAACCACCTGGGTCTCCATGGTGAGTGCCGGGGCCAAATGCACTCACAAGCTGCGAACCTCACTCTTCACGGTGAGAGTCACCCCCCGAAAGATAGGGAGTTTCCCAAACCACAGATGGAGGGGCCACCCACCCTCAGAACCTCCATCTTGCCTGGGTTCAGCCTCCGCCCATTCTCCTGCATCTACCGCAGTATGGCCTCCGGGCAGCGCTCAAGGGACGGGACGGCATCCACTGAGGAAGGTGAAAAAGAGATGTAGAGCTGGGTGTCATCAGCGTACTGATGGCACGAAGCCCGACATCCCCTGACGACCCCTCCCAGCGGCCTCATATAGATGTTAAACAGCATTGGAGAGATTATCGAACCCTGTGTTAAGTTGAGTACCGTATTTAGTCGTCTCCCACCTATGTAATTTCTTGGGTTTGTATGTTATTTTTAATTATATGCATGAGAACCAGCTTTAAAGAGGCTGGAGAGGCTTTTACGTCTCTGTTGTCCATTGACAACTGACTTAAGTGTTATAAACAGAAATCACTGGCTTAGAGCAATAGTTTCTGTAATATCCTGTTACTCTTATTCAATACTTTTTTACCTAGTACATCAGAGTTGTTTATTGTTATGGTCCTAAGCAATATGTGAGTGCATATCTGAATATGTTACCTGGATTGCAAATAGTTTTGCAGTTTGCTTTGTTCTGTGTTTTTGGTATATAAGAACCTTGGACCATGTTGCAGGTATTCAAATTCAGTAAAGTTACTGTAAAGACTCAGTTTGGGATTCTTTTGCTTTGGAAGCTTCATGGCCTTGTAAATAACTGTTTTTCTTACGTGCTAAAATTACTATTGTTCATTGAATGAGAACCAGAGTAGCAAACTGCACTTGGCTCATGTAAGGAACCTTTCCCTTCCATCCTCCTTTTTAGTCTTGGGGTTACCTGCGCATCATGGCGCCAGGAAGGTGGAATAAATGGCAGCAGTGTAAAGTGAATGACATTCTCGACAGCTAGCTATACTATTCAGTTACAGTGTATAGCTAATAAATTATTTGGGTGCTTAACTCAAGTGTGTCACTTGATTATGTAAACGGGAGAATCTGATAGACTTGCCTTTTTTAATCTGCTGTTTTGCATACTATACACTCATTGCTAATGGATGCATTTGTTTGCATGGTAATACAAATGAGTCTTTTTACATATTGTAAAGGTGGGAAGAATTATACATAGGTAGTGGATAATCTGTTTTAAATGAATTAACAGTTTCTCCTAGGCCCCTTTCTGTGTGTTCACAATGTTTGTAAAATAATGAAGTGGACTTTGTCTCCAAATTTATAACCATTGAGGCAGTAAAAAGTGACTAAAATATTGGCGGTTAGTAAATAGCATAATTGTGATTGGGTTTAAAGTGAGTAGAACTGGCAATTGAACTTTGAAGAGAAGATGGTGGGAGCATTCATTGTGCTCTTGAAATATGCCACTGACAATTGGTCATCAGCACATAGAATTTCCTATAGAGTGCTGCCAGCTGATTCCAGTGAGTGGTTTGTAACAGATACATAGTTACTATTTGGAACTAAAGGGTCCTGTGTGCCCTTGGAGCCAGTATATTTCCCATCTAGGTTTAAGGCCCAGTTCATATGTCATAATAGGTCAAGGATCTGGAGGATCTTGGCTTATCAGGATTGAATGGATATTCATGTGCTTACTGCTTGATTGCTTAGTTCACAGAGCACTGGAAACTCTGGATAAATGTTCTTGATACCCTAGGCCAG